TCCAATGCTAGCAGGGAATTATTGAATCGAATTTGATATTGGGGCCTATGAGAGGACTCCTAAGGTGCTTCCCAATGGCAAAGAGTTACCTTGCCTGTCCATTACTGATCTGCATTCATTAATCCAGTGCTGGCCTTTGCCACACCTTTTGCATACTCCAGAAGGCTGGGGCCTTCTATTTGGATTATCTCTAGAAAAAACATTGTTTCTAGAAATGACTTGCCTAAAATTCCTTTTCAAATGATCTTGCTTATCACAATTAAAACATCTGACATTTTGATTTTTCTTAAAATTTTTAGAAATCACTTCTCCTATCAAAGTAGCATCATAAGTATGAGATCCAATATCAGTTGTATTTCTAACCCATTCCTCTATTGGTGCTGATCTTGCCTTTAAAAGCCTAACCACCCTTTTGCATTCTGAATTAGCATTTTCAAAAGCCAAAATTCAATTAATATTTCTCTGACTTCTGGATCTATTTTATTTTATTTATAGTTGAAGTCAATCTTTGCAAAAAAAATCAGTGAAGGCTTCTTACAGGCCTTGTATAATTTTAGAAATGACTCAGACCTCTTTCCTGATTCTTCAACCTTGTCCCAAGCATTCAAAGCTGCTAAATGACATAGGGCTGAGGTGTGATCTTCCAATTCACACTGTCTTTGCAACTTAACATTCACCTAGAAACTGATCTTGAGAAATATCAGTATCTGTAGCCCTAATTCATTGTTCTATTGCCCTCATTTCCTCTTTCCACCATGTTCGCCATTGTAACTGAGGACCAGCTTCCAATATTGCTATAGCAAATCTTTCCAGTCTTGGGGTATAATTCTGTCCTGAGTTGCCCATGAATTTAACATTTGCTTCATATAGGTGAATGTATACCATATGAAACAACTGCTTCCTTAAATCTCCTCAATCCAATATTTCTATAGGATTACATTTAACTTCTACATAATCCTAGGGGGTCATTCTTGTATAGTAACTAGATCAACTAAGGTTGGTTTTGTTTTGTTTAGTTTTGTTTTTCAAGACAGGGTTTCTCTGTGTAGTTTTTGGAGCCTGTCCTGGAACTTGCTCTTGTAGGCCAGGCTGGCCTCAAACTCACAGAGATCTGCCTGCCTCTGCCTCCCAAGTGCTGGGATTAAAGGTGCCACCACCACCCAACTCTAAGATTGGTTTTCTAATGACTTTGAGCCACCTCTCTTCAGTTTCATCACACAGTGGTGAGCAAGGTTCTTGTTTAAATTTCTCTGTCTGTGTTTGAGTATTTTTCTTAACTTTCACTAGTAAGTCTTTCTAAGGCTTCTATCTTATCAACAGTAAGTCTTTTTTAAGTCTTGTTTCTTATCTGCCAATTTTTCATATTTGGTGCAGTCATCAAACTACTTTTTAAGGATAAATATGAATTATCAAACTGGTAGTAATTATAACAGGCATTATATCAATCCCAGCTAGGTCAGTTATCTTTTTTTGTTTTTTACATTTTCAAGCATCCATTGTGGCACAATACAGAGTCCTCAGTCCCTGTATTGTGATGTTGCCCATTTTTAACTCGGGAAAGGTTTTTCTTTGGACTTCCCAGTTGTGTTACCAAATCTGCTGTGGGATCTGTGGTGGTGGAGCTGTGAGGCGCTCGGGGCCAGGGTGCAGATGCAGGGGGGCCTCAGCAGGAGCAGCTGCCCGAGGAGTGACTGTGGGCACTGGGGAGATTGGCGGCTTCAGAAGCCACTGCATTATCTTGTGCCATGCATTAGATACCAAATGTTGTTTTTATCTAAGTTCTATTTATCAATAAAGACTCAGGAGTTAGATGTTGGGGTCAAAACCTGCTAGATCAGAGAAGCCAAGAGACAGCCAGCTGGCTTTTCTTTTTGGCCAGAGACCTACCAACAGAAGGCCTTTGAATCTCTGAGTCCCCCCCTTCTCCTTCCTGTGCATCTCCCTCTATCTGCCTATGGCTAATTCTTGTGAGCTTGTCACTGGCTCCACCCCCTAATCCAAGGTTAATTTTATTAACACAGTCTTGAAGTTTCACAGTACCATCAAATATCCCACAACACATTTATTTAAAAATCAAAAACCATTTTATTTTATTTTATTTATTTTATGTGTCTTGATGATTTGCCCAACTGGATATCTGTGCACCACATGTGTGCAATGCCCTTGGTGGTCAGAAAAGAGCATTGGATCCCCTGGAACTATCTTACAGATGTTTGTGAGCCAATGTGTGGGTGCTGGGAGTTAAACCCGGGTCCTCTGGAATAGCAGCCAGTGTTCTTAACTGCTAAGCCATCTTTCCAGGCCTTTCTAACTTTACATTTTTATATATGATTGTTGTGTATATAATGGAGGACATTTGCACCCCAGTGCGTGTGTAGAAGTCAAAGGGCAGCTTTGGGGGGCTGGTTCTCCCTTTCTACCTTTATGTGGGCTCTGGAAATCAAACTCAGGACATCAGGCTTGCTCAGCAAGTGTTTTACACATTGGAAATATCTCACCAACCTATCATTTATTTTAATTTTTATTTTATTTTTGTTTTTTTTCTTGAGACAGGGTTTCTCTGTATAGCCCTGGCTGTCCCGGAGCTCTTTCTGTAGACCTGGCTGCATACTTGGCAAGCACTCCAGGAACTTCACACCCTGGTCTGTTCTTTAGTCCAATCTTACCTTTATTTGATTCTTGTTACAATGCTTGCAAGCTTATGTTCAAGACTCTGAAATTTAGAACTTAATCATCTATTCCGGGATTTTGGAGATGGAGACTCACTATGTAACCAAGGTTGGCCTGGAACTCAAAGTCTTCTTGCCTCAATTTCCCATGCACTGGGGTTTCAGTTATCCACCACCTGTAATCTGAAGGTTAGGATAGAAACTTACGTTTCTTAGGGAGGGACACTATTCAACTTATAGCAAGCAGCCAATAGTCAATCATGTCAGTGAACCAAGACTTGCCGCTCAGTGGGAGCAGCACAGAGAGACAATGACTGCATCACATCTGTCTTCCAGATGTTAGATGCCATCCAAGCCTCAGGAACTAAGAGATAGCCCAAGAGAAGGGAGTGATATCTCTTCTTTGGACTGAAGTGAAGCCCTCGACTCTCTAAAGAGGGGGTTTGAGCTAATCATGAAGCCCAGTGACAGGACACAAGTATATCATGCCAGCAGCAACATTTTTGCTATATTCTGCCTCTCTAACATGTTCATTTCCTGCTGTGCTGAAACCAGTACATGCAAATTCCTTTAAGCCAGCAGATCTAAAATTTATTTTTGTCTCCAGCCCAATTAGGAGAAAATCAGGATTCCACCTGCTCCCACTTCCCAGTGGAGACAGTTAGGTGATAAAAATGGAATGGTGTCCTAAAGGCATCTGAGAAGCCGGGGGATTGGGAGTACATCTGTTTTGACTCCTGTTCCATGCAATGCATACATAGCTTAAAGCCTATTTATTGAACAATTATAGGCCAAAGACGCTGCTGACACAAATGTGTTATTAAACACTGTGGGACTTGCCAAACAGCCCACGGCAGGCGAACTTGACAATGCAAAGCTGAGCCTGTAGCCTGATCTGAACAAAAAGCACAGTAGTGGGAAGCCATGGTCAAGGCAAGACAACGTAAGGACAGAACGGCCTTCCAGGACCTTTTCAAACTCCTCTGTCAGCAACACCCTTGAGCACTGTGGTGCGGTCCTGCCTGTTGGGCAAGTGTCCTGGGAGGATGTCTGTTCAACAGTCCATTTTCCTCTTAAAAATTTTTAGTACATATTTTTATTAGTTAATTAATTATTTTTCAGCTTGACCACAGCTTCCCCTCCCTTCCTCCTCTCTTTCTAGTCCCTCTCTAACCTCCCTTCTTGCCCCACCATCCACTCCTTTCTTTTCAGAAAAGTCCAGGCCTCCCATGCTTATCAGCCAGCCATGGCACATCACGTTACAGTGAGACTAGGCACCTCCCCTCCTGTGAGGCAACCCAGTTGGAAGAAAGGGTCCCAAAATTGGGCAACAGGGTCAGAGACAGCCCCTCCTCCCACTGTTAGGAGTCCCACAAGAAGACCAGGCTACACAACTGTAACTTATGTGCAGAGGTCATAGGTCAGTCCCATGCAGGCTCCCTGGTTGGTGGTTCAGTCTCTGTGAGCCCTGTGAGCCCAGGTTAGTGGATTCTGTGAGTTTTCTTGCGGTGTCCTTGACCCCTCTGGTTCCCACAGTCCCCCCTCTCTTCCACAGGATTCCCCAAGGTTCACCTAATATTTGCCTGAGGGTCTCTGCACCTGTTTCCATCAGTTGCTGGGTGAAGCCTCTCTGATGACAATTGGGCTACAACAATCTATGAGTATAGCAGAGTATCATTAGCAATTATTTCATTGACTTTTTTTTTTAGTTGCCAGTCATATTTGGTTCTATCCTAGGTCTCTGAGTTATCCAGCCTCTGGGTCCTGGCCCTCCAGGCAGTGTCAGGGGCAGACTCCCTCTTTCACGGCATGGGTCTCAGGCTGGAGCAGTCATGGTTGGCAACTCCCATCAGGGGTGAGCTCTCTCTCATGGCGTGGGTCTCAAGCAGTCATGGTTGGCAACTCTCATAAGTTCTGCACCCCCTTTGCCCCAGCACATCTTGTATGTAGGGCAAATTATAGGTCAAAGGTTATGTGGCTGGGTTGATGTCCCAACCCCCCCTGGAAGTCTTGCCTGGTTACAGGAGATGGCTGGTTCAGCTCTGTATCTCCCATTGCTAGGAGTGTTAGCCAGGTTCACCCTCATAGATTCCTGGGAGTTTCCATTGCACTAGGTTTCTAGCTCATCCCAGAGATGCCCCTGATTCCAGTTGTCTTTCCCAGTACTCTCTCACTCCACCCTCCCCAACTCCTGTTTCCATGCCCACCCCCCATCCAGACCTTATGATGTCTACTCTATTTCCAGATCCCCCTCCACTTATGATGTCTACTCTATTTCCCCTTCACAGTGAGATTCATGCCCCGCCCCAGCCCTCCTTGTTACTTAGTTTCTTTGGCTCTGTGGATTGTAGCATGATTATCCTTTACTTTATGGCTAATATCCACCTATAAGTGAGTACATACCATGTTTGTCTTTCTGGGTCTGGGTTACCTCATTCACGATGATCTTTTCTAGTTAAATCAACTTGCCTGAAATTTTCATGATGTAATTATTTTTAACAGCTCAGTAATACTCCATTGTGTAAATGTACCATATTTTCTTCATCCATTCTTTGGTTGATGGACATCTAGGTTGTTTCTAGTTTTTTGCTATTATGAATGAAGCTGCTATGAACACAGTTGAGCATGTACCCTTGTGGTATGGTGGAGCATCCTTTGGGTATATGCCCAGGAGTTGTATAGCTGGGTCTTGAGGTAGATTAATTCCCAATTTTCTGAGAAACTACCATGTTGATTTCCAAAGTGGCTGTATAAGTTTGCATTCTTACAAGCAATGGAGGAGTGTTGTTCCCCTTGCCCCACATCCTCTCCAGCATGAGCTGTCACTTGTGTTTTTGATCTTAGCCATTCTGACAGGTGTAAGATGGAATATCAGAGTCCTTTTGATTTGCATTTCCCTGATGGCCAAGGATGTTAAACATTTCTGTAAGTGCTTCTTGGACATTTGAAATATGAAATTCCTCTGTTGAGAATTTTCTATTTAGATCTGCGCTCCATTTTTTAATTGGATTATTTGGTTTGTTGATGTCTAGTTTCTTGAGTTCTTTATATATTTGGGAAACCAGCCCTCTGTCAGATGTGGGCTTGGTGAAGATCTTTTCCCATTCTGCAGGCTGCTGTTTGTCCTGTTGATGGTGTCCTTTCCCTTACAGAAGTTTTTCAGTTTCATGAGGCCCCATTTATTAATTGTTGATCTTAGTGCCTGTGTTATTGGTGTTCTGTTCAGGAAATTGTCTCCTGTGCTAGCGCGTTCAAGGTTATTCTTCTCTTTCTCTTCTGTCAGGTTCAGTGTAGCTGCATTTATGTTGAAGTCTTTGATCCCTTTCTAATGAGGGCTGGGGGGTTCGGCCCATCAATAGTCCCCTTCCAGGGCCCGGGAAGAATTTACAACCAGCTGATGATTTAATCTTTGATGATAAGAAATGAATCTACATACACAAAACTCCTTCTACATACACAAAAGTCCATTCACTTTATTGTTCTGAGTCAGTTCTCTCTCTACACAGCTTCTGCTCTCGCACCTAGCTCCTTTCCTGCCTGATTTCTTTCTACATTTATCTGCTGTCCCCTCTAAGTTCTATCTTAATTCTCTCATCTTAGTTCTGCCTCTTCTAGGTTCTCATCCATCTAGTTCTTTCCCATATCAGCTCCTCTCTCATCTCCTTCTCTCTCATCTTGTTCTTCCCCATCTGGCTTTTCCTCATCTTCCATCTTGTTCCTCTGGTACTCTCTTTTAGCCCTTCAATCTAGTTCTTCCCCATCTCAGTACGTTCCTCTCCAGTTCTTACCCATTTAGTTCTTCTGTTCTCTTGTCTCTTCTCTGCTCATCTTCAAGTTCTCTCTTCAAAAATTATTCTCCTCTCCCTCCTTCTACCTCTCAGTTCTCTGTATTCTTTCAGTTCTCCCTAACTCTCTCAAGAATCCAGTTGTCAACTCAAGCAATAGCAGCCCTCTCCCAGAGCTAGGTCACCAGGCTTGAAGCCTTATGGGGTCATAAAGGCAGGTAAGAATTTTCCTCAGGCAGTGACCACCAGGCTTTCTTTTACAACCCAAAAGGGGAGTGGTAAAGGAGAAGGTCAATAGAGAGCTAATGCTTGGTTAGTATGTCAAGAAGGGAATTTATGTGCTCAGTCTACATTCCTAGAAGTGGTTAGGTGAGAAATTAGGAGTCTATTAATAAGGCTGTAAGGAAGAAGGGTCTCACCCTAAATTGCACAAGAAATAAAGCTATCCGTCTGACATAGGAGACTGGTATTATTTCATTTGGCCTTGGATGCTTGATCGGCATTTTAGATAAATACACTGTTAAGAGTTCTTGGAAGCACACAAGAAAATCATTTTAGGCTGGGCAGTGGTGGTACACGCCTTTAATCCCAGCACTCAGGAGGCAGAAGCAGGCGGATCTCTGTGAGTTCGAGGCCAGCCTGGACTACAGAGCAAGTTCCAGGATAGGATCCAAAGCTATAACAGAGAAACCCTGTCTCAAAAAACAACAACAAAAAAAAAAGAAAGAAAGAAAGAAAGAAAAAGAAAAAAAAGAAAAAGAAAAAAATTATTTTAGGAACCAGCATATATATATATATATATATATATATATATATGTATATATATATATATATATATATCACCAAGACTTCTTAAGCCATGGCTTGACCTTTGGAGAAGTCCTTGTCTTTTCCAAGTAGAAGCTGAATTCCATTATCTTTTCCTGTGGCTTGCAACACACTTCGACTTGAGTTTTGTGCAGAGTGATAGATATGGATCTATTTGCATTCTTCTACATGCAAACATCCAGTTAGGCCAGCACCACTTGTTGAAGATGATTTCTTTTTTCCATTATATATTTCTGGCTTCTGTATCAAAAGTCAGGTGTCCATACATCTGTGCATTAATGTCTGGGTCTTCAATTCAGTTCCATTGATCAACCTGCCAGTTTTTATGCCAATATCATGCAGTTTTTATTAATATTGCTATGTAGTACAGCTTGAAATCATGGATGGTGATACATCTGGGAGTTCTTTTACTGTACAGGATTGTTATAGCTCTCCTGGATTTTTTGTTTTTCCATACAAAGTTGAGTATTGTTCTTTCAAGGTCTGTAAAGAATCATGTTGGCATTTGGGATTGCATTGAATCTGTAGATTGCTTTTGGTAAGATTGTCATTTTTACTCTGTTAATCCTACTGATCCATGAGCATGGGAGATCTTTCCATATTCTGATATCTTCTCCAATTTCTTTCTTCAAAGACTGATACAAATACTTTGACTTCTTAGTATCTGTGTGCATGTGAGTATGTGTGTGTGTATGTGTGCAGATATATCTGTGTGCATGTGAGTGTGTGTGTGCATGTGTGCAGATATATCTGTGTGCATGTGAGTGTGTGTGTATGTGTGTATGTGCAGATGTATCTCTGTGTGCATGTGTGTGCGCATGTAGGCTAGGGGACAACCTAAAATGTCATTCTTCAGGAGCCATCCACATTTTTTTTTTTTTTTTTTTTTTTTAGGCAGGGCCTCTCGATGCCCTGGAGCTTACCAAGAAGGCCAGGTTGACTGGCCAGTGAGCCCCCGGATCACCTGTCTCTGCCTCCCAAACTCAGGTCCTCATGATTGCGCCATCCCAAGTCCCAACTGATGTCTTCAAAATCTTTTTTTGAGATAGAGTCTTATTGGGTTGGCTGGTTTGGAATTTCCTAGGTAGACCAGGCTGGCCTTGAATTTATAGTGATCCTCCAACCTCTGTCTCCAGAGTTCTGGGATTAAAGGTGTGCACCAGCGCCTCTCCAAACTCTTATGGAACTATAAGCAATGTCTAAGAGTTAGCAACATTATTCTCAAGCATTGCTTATGGCTGCCCACAGAAAAGTTAGCTGCCACTACTCATCAAAGAATCTTCTTTTTACAGCAAATGGAAAACACAACTGGACACAATGCAGAGATTGTGGTGCGCCCAGCCCAGATGGACACATCTATATCATAGCTCCTGCATCTATGGCTCAGGGAACATGGCGGAAGAGGGGGCAGAAAGGTGGTATGAGCTAGACCACCAGGAAGTCTGTTGTGAAACAGTCTCTTCTAGAAATGGCTGCAAAAAAACCAGAAGATGGCAGTATCGATGGACCCACTAACATGGAAGGGGACAATATCACTGGGTCCTAGCCAGTGATACATAGGCAACTATAGGCAACTAATGACTTCTGAGAGATGGAAAATTAGCCTCTCCCAGGGCTGAGCCCCCTCATTGTTATCCAGTACCGAGTAGTCAGTCTTAAAACCACATGCACCGACAACGAAAATGGACTCCTCAGGTTCTATTTATGTATTTGTGCATACACATACACATACATGTACATACATATACACATAATACACATGCACACCTATAAACACACATATACATATATACATACACATATATGTGTGTACATAACATAATGATCACAGAAAAAGAAGCTATTAATTTGAGAGTGGTGGGTATGAGAGGGTTGGAGGGAGGAAAGAATGAAGTGAAAGGTCGCGTCACGATTCCCACTGCATGCGACATGGACAGATGGTAAGGACTGTGTCTGCTTCACGACTGAAGGGACTAGTTCCACTGTGTTCAAAGGAAAATTTAGTTATCTATTTATTTGTTTACTTTTTTCTGGCTTTTGAGACAGGGATTCCCTGTGTAGCCCTGGCTGTCTGGGAACTTGCTCTGTAGCCCAGGCTGGCCTCTACCTCCCGAGGACTGACTGGGGTTCAAGGCGTGCACCACTACCACCCAGCTTACTTACTTTTATTTGAGACATGGTTTCTGAGGCTGGCCTAGAACTCACTCTGTAGCCCAGGCTGGCTCCAAACTCATGGCAATCCTCTTGCTTTAGACTCCTGAGTGTGCGGATGTGTGTGTGCCACTTTGCCTGGCTTTCATGTATGTCCGTGTTTTGTTTTCCTCCATCGTCCTGGTTGCCATGTGATGAAGTGGACTTTGCCCAGAACATGTAAGTAGCAATTTCCTGGCCTGAACAAATGGCAGAGGTGTTCTCAGGGTGGTGGCTGCCAGGTGGCACAGCTCCCAGACAGGGCCTGTGTGCGGAGCTTTGCTGTCACCTTGGAGCAAGCTCTCTCCCGTAGTGTGGGGTATTATAAACACAGCTGCCCTGTCCATTGGCCAAGAGGAACATGCCCTGGAGACCACAAGCAACATGCGTGCTCTCCTCTCTCTGGTGGGTATCTCAGGACGATGTTGCCAGGAATGTGTGGTGTAGGAGAGGTTCCTCCTGGAGAGCCGTCACACAGGGTTCCTCTGAAATCTCTCCTTTTTTTTTTATCCTGTATCCTTTGGTAGCAAAAAGAGAGTAAAATAATGAGATGAGGCTGCAACCAGCTAGCGAGAAAGACAGGCTGACCTGCAGCCATAGGGAGCTGGGGAGGAAAAGGTTACCCACTCCCCGGACCTGGTGCCTCACCCTGCTCAGTTCATGGCAGACTGAAGCCAGAGGACAGCATCAGCTCTGTTGCTCCCATTCAGCTCATCCATCAGGAGTCTCTCACAGGCAGAAAGAGAGAGAAGGTGGGCAGATCTAAGGCACTTCCTCCTGTAGTTCTGGTTGCCAAGAGCTTCGTGTATCCTTCTGCTGGGGCCACGCCTCCTTCTCCTTCAGTCTGCACATTCTGGAAACTTCTCATTGCTCTTTCAAGTTTTGCAGCAGGTCCCTGCTGCGGCCATTATGTCATCCAACTAACATTGTGTGTGTTGTTAATAGATTTATTAAACGTTTTGAAGGCTGGTTACCAGCTTCGAGTGTGGTCTGCCTTCTATGAGCTCGGGTGGAAAGTCGTGCCCACACTGACTGAGGCTGCGCAGAAGCGCACACACCAGGCACACATGTGCTGCTTTGTCCTAAGCTCGGGATGGAAGTGCGCACATTATTGTGTACACACTGATATAAACTGACTATAAAGCTGAGACATGGAGAGCCTGAGCGGGCTCCTGAGAGTCACGGATCTAATGCAGGTTCCCTGGATCCAGGTCTTTAACCATTTTTGTTGCCCTGGACTTTCCTAAGAGATCATGGTGATGATGGTGATAATGGTGACAATGAAGATCACCATGATGGTGATGTATTGGTGTTGGCCACGGTGAGATGAGGGTCATGGTGGTGATGACTAGGGCGATAGTGGTGATGATGGTGATGGTGGTCATGGTGGAGATGATGGTTGTGGTTGTGTTGGTTAGTTTTATGTCAACCTGACACAAGCCCGAGTCATTTGGGAAGAGGGACTCTCAACTGAGGAAATGCTTCCCTAAGATTGGTTTGTAGGCAGGTCTGTGGGGCATTTTCTTGGTTAATGACTGATGTGGGAGGGCCTAGCCCACGACGGGCAGTACCATCCCTGGGCAGGTGGTCTGGAGTGTATAAAAAAGCATGCTGAGCCAGCTGGGGGAACAAGCCAGTGAGCAGCACCCCTCCATGGCCCCGCTTCAGTTCCTGCCTCCTGGGTTCCTCTCAATGAAAGACTCAGCGTGAGCAGAAATGATCTCTTTCCTTCTCAAGCTGTTTTTGGTTAGGGTCTTTATCACGACAATAGGAAGCAAACTAAGATAATGGTGATGGTGATCATGATGTGGTGAAGATGGTGATGGCGGTGATAATGATGGTGACGGTGGTTATAGTGGTGATGATGGTTATAGTGATGATGATGGTAGTGGTTATAGTGAAGATGATGGTGGTGGTTATAGTGGTGATGATGGTGGTGGCAGTGATAGCTATGATGATGGTGATGATGGTGGTGGTGGTGATGGTGGTGGAGGGGGTTGATATGATAATGGTGGCAGAGACAGTGATGATTGTATTAGTTACACAGCCTACATTTGGACATGACCCTCAGATGCTCTCTGAATAAAACTCAGCAATCTATGAGTAAATGGTCTCTCATGATGCCTCTGAATGACCCAACCAAGGCCTTGGAATTCAACATCCCACGCTGCTCTTCTGAAAATCCCTTCGCAGACACACCTCACAATCAAGTCTTGCCAACCGGTTAGTTAAGCTAACACCTGAAATGAGCTATCAGCCATATTATAAACCACTCCAAAATGCAGCGGCTTGAGCTGGGCATGGTCACATACCTCGGTCATCCCTGCCCTCAGGAGGCAGAGGCAGGGGGATCACCAGTTCAAGACTAGACTGGGTTTCTTAGTGAGGCTATATGGGTTGCTTGGCAAATATCCAGTTGAGATGGGGCTCATCTCAATGACAGCTCAGGTGTTTCTCACACTTCTCTGGGGACACTTGTTCGCAGGGTATGTGAAAGAGTGCAGGCCGTACCCACACCTCAGGGTGGCCATGTGCCCTCAACTAAAGCAAGTCATGTGGCCACAGCCAAGTCCAAGTCCGACAGGTGGGAGAGCGCGGATTGCCCCACTGGAAATGCAGCAAGGCTCTGTAAACAGGATGGACTGAATAACTGGGAGTTCAACCTAAAACGCCACTTGAGTCAGAAGAGAGCTGACTCAGGCTGGCCTCATTCGCATAAAGGAAAATCAGAACTTTCTGACATTTCCAAAGGACTTAAGGAAGCTGGGATGGCTATTTATGTTCACAAAGTGACTCACATGAGTCACATGGCATGAAATAGGAAAATTCGATGCTAATTGTGCAGCCCCAGGGCTCCCTGCCTAGCGGTAATAACATCTTGTGCTCAGCCTTTTCAAGCTCACGGTGCCTCCAATAGCCGCGTCTGACTTCACAGTCAAAACAACCTTCTCGGGTCTTCGCCCAGGAGGGGACGCAGGCATAAGGGACTTGTCCAGGGCAACACAGCTTCCGCCTCATAAAAGCACTTTTGGGTGCAAATGTTTGTATCTCCCAGAGGTCAGCAAACTGCAGTACAGGACCAAATCAAGAACTACCTTACTGTAGAAATAGGTTTGGGCTGGGGAGATCAGTCGGTAAGGTGCTTGCTATTCAAGCCTGAGTACCCCAGCAGCCACGTGAAAACCCAGTGGTGGTAGCAACAGCCTGTCACCCCCGACTGAGGAGGTGGAGGCGGATGGAGCCTTGGGGCTCACTGGCCAGCTAGTCTAATCTAATCAGTGAGCTCCAGGCCAATGAGATGCTTCTCAAAAGAGGTTGACGACCCGACCGATCAGTTAAGGAAGAACTCCTGGGGTTGTTCTCTGGGCTCTAGGAGCACGCACGCACACATGACACACCTCTCTCTCTCTCTCTCTCTCTCTCTCTCTCTCTCTCTCTCTCTCTCTCTC